ATATAAGCTTGTTTTACTCCAATGTTTGTAAAGAAAGTAAATGTAAACAAACACTGTATAGCCTCAACACACATGGTTAAAACTATCATTGATATCTTGGATGGTCAGTCCTTGCATCCATAGCTCTGTCTATAATTTTGAGAGTGGTTACATTTCTCCAGGCCCATCCCTCAGCTTTTTACAGAAACAGATGTGTTATTGTTTCAATTAAGGATTCTAGCTTTAAAGTTGCCTGATGAATTTTCAACATTCTTTCACTTGCATCACTACATTCACTCCAAAGCCTTATGATGAAACACTGGCATATGCTCACCTCAGACACAACACTAAGCCAGGAATTCACGGAGCCCCCCAACAAACAGGCCCCCAATCTTCACAGTAGACTAGTCCAAGCCAGCTTTAACACGGTCCTAAACAAACCCTCCTTACTCCACTGAGAGATGGAAGCTACCCTTGTGGCAATTGTGCTCAGTGCAACAACACCAAAAACAACTGAGTTCTGACAGCCTAGGTCTGGAAAAAGATACTGTGTTAAAGGTGTGATCACATGCAACACAAAACATTTGATTTACATCCTACGCTGTGTTTGTGACAAAATGTACTTTGGCAAGACATCCAGATGCTTGAAACAGAGAATAAGCAAACATAAGACATTTAACATTTACATTTACATTTTAGTCATTTAGCAGACGCTCTACCAACTGAGCTACATCCCCTAAGACGTAAGGATGAAAATGACCCTGTTTCTTTTCATTCTGTCCAATGCTCTCACAGTGTCTTCTCTACAATTCCAGAGCATTGAGAAGCTGGAAGTGTCACCAAGAGGAGGAGATAATGACCGTATCCATACTTTTGGCACCCTACAGCCTTTAGGACTTAATGAGGATTTTGATATGAGGGTCATGTTGTAAATTCCTATTGTCATCGTCTTAGCTTCATCGTATTAGGGTGTCCTGTATTCATGACGGCCCTATTGACCCGATACTTCCCCGACAGGTTACCTTAACCTTTACATTTATCTAGTTATTTTCTAGATTTCTCCTGGTTCTACACATGTATATAGTGTTGTATATGTGTTTTCCTTTTCTATAATTGTTTTTGCAGCTTTTCGGCTGTGTTGTGCACTTATCAAATCAAATCAAATCAAATTGTATTGGTCACATACACGTGTTTAGCAGATGTTATTGCGGGTGTAGTGAAATGATTGTGCTTCTAGCTCCGACAGTGCAGTAATATCTAACAAGTAATATCTAACAATTTCACAACATATACCCAACACACACAAATCTAAGTAAGGAAAGGAATTTAAGAATATATACAAATATGGACAAGCAATGAAAGAGCGGCATGGACTAAGATACAGTAGAATATTATAGAATAGAATACAGTATATACATATGAGATGAGTAGTGCAAGATATGTAAACATTATTAAAGTGACTAGTGTTCCATTTCTTAAAGTGGCCAGTGATTTCAATAGGCAGCAGCAGCCTCTAATGTGCCACTGATGGCTATTTAACAATCTGATGGCCTTGAGATAGAAGCTGTTTTTCATTCTCTCGGTCCCAGCTTTGATGCACCTGTACTGACCTCGCCTTCTGGATGATGGAGGGGTGAACAGGCAGTGGCTCGGGTATTTGATGTACTTGATGATCTTTTTGGCCTTCCTGTGACATCAGGTGCTGTAGGTGTCCTGGAGGGCGGGTAGTTTGCCCCCGGTAATGCGTTCGGCAGACCGCACCACCCTCTGGAGAGCCCTGCAGTTGTGGGCGGTGCAGTTGCCGTACCAGGCAGTGATACAGCCCGACAGGATGCTCTCAATTGTGCATCTGTAAAGGTTTGTGAGGGTTTTAGGTGCCAAGACACATTTTTTCAGCTCTGTTGCGCCTTCTTCACCACACTGTCTGCGTGGGTGGACCATTTCAGTTTGTCAGTGATGTGTACGCCAAGGAACTTCAAGCTTTCCACGTTCTCCACTGAGGTCCCGGATAGGGGGGTGCACCCTCTGCTGTTTCCTGATGTCCACGATCATCTCCTTTATTTTGTTGATGTTGAGTGAGAGGTTATTTTCCTGGCACCACACTCCCAGAGCCCTCACCTCCTCCCTGTAGGCTGTCTCGTCATTGTTGGTAATCAAGCCTACTACTGTTGTGTCGTCTGCAAACTTGATGATTGAGTTGGAGGCGTGCTTGGCCACGCAGTCATGGGTGAACAGGGAGTACAGGAGGGGGCTGAACATGCACCCTTGTGGGGCCACAGTGTTGAGGATCAAATCAAATCAAATCAAATCAAATTTTATTGGTCACATGCGCCGAATACAACAGGTGCAGACATTACAGTGAAATGCTTACTTACAGCCCTTAACCAACAGTGCATTTATTTTAAACAAACAAAAAAAAAAAAAAAATATATATATATATATATATATATATATAAAAATCAGCGAAGTGGAGATGTTGTTTCCTACCTTCACCACCTGGGGGCAGCCCGTCAGGAAGTCCAGGACCCAGTTGCACAGGGCGGGGTTCAGACCCAGGGCCTCGAGCTTAATGATGAGCTTGGAGGGTACTATGATGTTGAATGCTGAGCTATAGTCAATGAACAGCATTCTTACATTGGTATTCCTCTTGTCCAGATGGGATAGGGCAGTGTGCAGTGTGATGGCGATTGCATCGTTTGTGGATCTATTGGGGCGGTAAGCAAATTGAAGTGGGTCTAGGGATCCTTGACTAGTCTCTCAAAGCACTTCATGATGACAGAGGTGAGTGCTACGGGGCGATAGTCATTTAGTTAAGTTACCTTTGCTTTCTTGGGTACAGGAACAATGGTGGCCATCTTGAAGCATGTGGGGACAGCAGACTGGGATAGGGAGAGATTGAATATGTCCGTAAACACACCAGCCAGCTGGTCTGCGCATGCTCTGAGGACGCGGCTAGGGATGCCGTCTGGGCCGTCAGCCTTGCGGGAGTTAACATGCTTAAATGTCTTACTCACCTCGGCCATGGAGAAGGAGAGGCCACAGTCCTTGGTAGTAGGCCTCGTTGGTGGCACTGTGTTATCCTCAAAGCGGGCGAAGAATGTGTTTAGCTTGTCTGGAAGCGAGACGTCGGGGTCGGCGATGTGGCTGGTTTTCCTTTTGTAGTCCGTAATTGTCTGTAGATCTTGCCACATATGTCTCGTGTCTGAGCCGTTGAATTGCAACTCCACTTTGTCTCTATACTGATGTTTAGAGACAAAGTGGATAGAATAGAACATAGGTGGAATAGACCCTATTATAGATGTATTTCTACTAGAAAAAAAGTTGTTAGTATAAGGAACCCAGTGTTTTGTTCTAGTAGAAATACATCTATAATATGTTTTGTTCTATCTAGTTGTATTTCTATCTGATATTATGACATCTAGTGGCTCTTTTGGGTACTTTAGATTACCACAGATGTCTGTAATTATATCTGGCTCACTGTGTTTAGACAGGCAGCCCAATTCAGATTATTTCTTTCTCACTAATTGGTCGTTTGATCAATCAGATCAGCTCTGAAAAAGATCTGATATGAAAAGATCTGATGTGATTGGTAAAAACACCAACTAATGGAAAAAATATCAGAATTTGGCTGCCTGTGTAAACGCAGCCTGGGTGGCCTTATGTGTCCCACTATTGTTTGTGAAGACATGCTCTGATGAAGGTCGACAGACCGAAAGCTCAGCCACAATGAAATACATTTGCATCTAAATGGAAGTGAGCAGATACTTTTTCTTGTTTCTCAAACTTAGTCTGTATTATGAATGATTGAACATGCAGATGTAGTGTATGAATTATGGAATGGCCACAGTTTGGGAAATCACCCTTGAAGATTTAAAGCAGCAGTTCACATGAGGCAGAGTAAATTATTCATCCAGTCTGCACTTCCTATGTGGGTGACAGTGTCGCTCTACAGCAACACTCACTGCATTGCTTCGCCTTGCCTACCACAGTAAAAATAGAAACAAACCGAAGTTAACAAGAGCTTTGCTTTTCTCTTACTGAGATGTCATGTGGAGGAAGTTACAGTGTAACACTGTCACTCATGCCTGTTTCAATTGAATGTTGTTTATGTGACAGTTTAAGTTTACAGTGCCTTCAGAAAGTATTCACACCCCTTTACTTTTTCCACGTTTTGTTGTGTTACAGACTGAATTTAAAATGATTTTGTGTCACTGGCCTACACACAATATCCCATAATGTCAAAGCGGAATTATGTTATTAGAATTAATAAAAAATGAAAAGCTGAAATGTCTTGAGTCAATAAGTATTTAACCCCTTTGTTATGGCAAGCCTAAATAAGTTCAGGAGTAAAAATGTGCTTAACAAGTCAAATAATAAGTTGCATGGACTGCAATAGTGTTTAAAATGATTTTTTAATGACTACCTCATCTTTGTATCCCAAACATACAATTAATTATCTGTAAGGTCCCTCAGTCGAGCAGTGAATTTCAAACCCAGATTCAACCCCAAAGACCAGGGATTTCAACATGAGGCCAATGGTGACTTTAAAACAGTTACAGAGTTTAATGGCTGTGATAGGAGAAAACTGAGGATGGATCAACAACATTGTAGTTACTGCACAATACTAACCTAAATTACATAGTGAAAAGAAGGAAGCCTGTACAGAATATAAATATTCCAAAAGATGCATCCTGTTTGCAACAAGGCACTAAAGTAAAACTTTAAAAAGCATTCCAGGTCAAGCTGGTTGAGAGAATGTCGAGAGTGTGCAAAGCTGTCCAAACTTTTGACTGGTACTGTATATTTAATCAGTTTTGAATTCAGGCTGTAACACAACAGAATGTGGAATAAGTCAAGAGATATGAATACTTTCTGAAGGCACTGTATGTTTCCGGGAGACCCAATAGGAATGTATCATATAATAGGCAGCCTTCTCACTTCCCGGTGCAGGCCAGCGTCACTCACTGAGCAAGTGGTTTAAATATAGCTCTGACGAAGGCCTGCTGAAATTGATTTTGGTGATGCTGGTCGGCCCCTGGATGACGGAGTACAAATACAGACAGAGTCACCCAGGCAGCCACTGCACCACAGGGGCCAGTTCTCCCAGGAGACTCACTACCACAGGAGGTCTGACACACAGACGCTGAGAGACTCATCCACTTGACACTCAGGAAGAAGCGACGAGGCGGACATGTTGGCTCATCTGGGGCATTGTCATGTGTCGTTGTCACAGGTAAGTTATGTCTGGGTTGGCTCCGGTCCCACGCACTCTCAGCCAGTCGCTGGACGTCCTTCGCACCCTAGGGTTTTTCCTGGTTTTCTCTGGGACCTGTCTGGCACCTTAATTCCACTTCCAGTAATACAATGTGTGATTGTTGCTCCTTCGCCTTCTCCTGCTGCCCATGCTTGGAAAAATAGGCTATATGGGTAGGCCTCGCATTCCTCCTGTGGCTTTTTTTTCTGAACCAAGGCCTGATGGCTTTCCAAGACATTCCGGATGTGGAGTCTGGTTAAGCCTGTGGATGTTATTGATAACAGGGCTACCACTGACTACCGTTCCGCTTTAAATGAAATAGGCCAGAACAAGGCTCAATGACAGCTGCACAGGGCTCTGTTTCCGGGGCATGAGATTATGAAGATTTTCACTGCAAGTCGTCTCAATTTTTTGGGTGAACGTGACAGTGTTGGCTACTGATCCAGACCAGGAATCTAGTTGATTTGATCAGGTATTGATCTCTAGAAGTTGGCTCCTTTGCTTGTTTGACTGATTAGAGTGATTGACACTACAGGTGACATTGGAGCCAAACTGCTGGGAATAGACTCATCACCTATGGCTGTGCATTCTGCATTAGGGTATGCCAGAGACATGTTGATATGCTGTAAAGTTTTATGACTGTGTTGTCATTCGAGTCATTTTAGAGAGGTACTATATTTTATTTTTGTACAAATATAGTCTAATACAAATATAATTTTCTCTGAATGATTTGCTTTCTAATATTAATGATTTGTTTAAAAATTTGTAATATGATATCACTGCTATCTGCAACTAATTTCTATGTGAATTTATTCACATAGGTTTATACAATGAAAGCAAACAAGTCTACACGTGGTGATTGTGATTTGCTTGACCCGCAACACAATTTTATTCATGCATCATTTCGTACACAAAACTGAGGTCCATGTAAGTCAGCTGGCTTTTTATTGTAATGAAATTATAAGGCGGTTTTATATACCCGTTAAAACTTTTTTTCCCTCTTGAATAAAATTGCTGAAACCTTTCGCGATACAAGAATCAACAATTGTCTGGTCGCTTGTTTCCAGCCACAGGGGCATTTAATGGGCACAGCAAATTCAGAGGCATGCTACAGAATGACAGAGGGTGAAATCACTTTACAATCCTTGGGGCCAACAACACTGGATCTGTCAAAGCAAGACTACAGACCTCTCACAAGGCTCTACTGTATGAACGGAGGACATCTTCAGATCCTACTGGATGGAACTGTAGCGGGCGGCATAGATTAAAACAAATATGGTACGAATTGTTTTTGGGAGGTACACAACTACTGTACTTAGATTTGCCTACGAACATTAATATGATAAATGTTTTGGTATAGACAGCATACTTCCACCTTTTGTTTACAATTATGGAATAGTCTATATGCCTATAAGCTACTGATCTAAAATATGTTATATACATAATAGATTGTTGAATACATTTATTTATTTCATTATGAAATTATATCACTTTTAGGAAGGATTTGGAGAGAGCAGCCTCATTCCCAGGCCTCTATAATTATGCTCTCATGATAGCACAACCTGATGGCAACTACCAAAACAATCACAACTTAGCTTTGACACCATGCTTGTGTATTTGTGCTCTAGACATCCTAAAGGTAAAAGCAGTGAGAGCTGGAGTGGTGGCCATCAAGGGCCATGAGACGGGCCGCTACCTTGCCATGGACAAAGATGGTCTTCTCTATGGATCGGTGAGTCTCTTACTCAATAGTGACTGGTAACAGTGTAGAAATTACTGTATTGAACTCTGTATCAAATCAAAAAGTTCCAAGTCAAAACTCTGGTGGAAAACTACTGTGTAGCTTTTCTGCCTCAATCTAGACAATTTGATCATGTAGCCTAACCTAAGGATTATTATGAGTAATCCATTGCCCTAGGCTTAGGGTATTCACAAAGATCATCAAGAGATGAGGAACATAAACCAATCAGATGTGTACAGATGAGTTGCATTTTTTGAAGTCAAATTCTTGATTCAGTTGAATGAACAGAGGAGGCCTTATGTGTTCTTAATCTAACCTTGTCTATTCCAGAAAACGTTTAAAGATGAGTGTTACTTCCTGGAGAAGATGGAGGATAACTATTACAACACGTACAGGTCTCAAAAGTACCAGGACAACGACTGGTTCCTGGGGCTCAACAGGAATGGGCAGCCTAAAGCTGGCCCAAGGACACACATAGGCCACAAGGCCATCTATTTTCTGCCTCGGCCTGTTGACAACACCCCCATGTAAAGGCAGAAGACAGCAAACGTTAACAAGGACCATGCTACAGAAATCAATCACCTCCATTCACTTTGACCAATGTGCTCTTAATAACCTTTTACTGCAGTGGGCTAAATCAGGGTCACTTAGATTGATCCTTGGTAGTCTTAAACAAATCTACTTTGAAACAAAAGTATACACCTCACACACATGGTTGTGGGCTGAAAAAAAAGAAGACACCTGTACCATGTCAGATATAGAGTTGAGATGTATTCAATGTTGAGTTTGCATCCCAATATGACACTTTATATACATCACAGAAGACTGAAATATAACAGAACAGATTGGCATAGAAACACAGCATTTAGTATCACACAAACATATTCACATTTATATAACATTTTTCGTCATGTTTGTTGGAGAATATTTATTAATACAATTTTGATCATAAGATTCTCATTTTCGTTTTCACAAGAGAATGGGCACATTTTCATTTAAATATAATTTCATGTTAAATATTGTAGCATACAGCATGTTGGAAATATACTAAACAAAAATATAAACGCAATATGCAACAATTTCAAGGATTTTACTGAGTTAAAATTCATAGAAAGGAAATCAGTCAATTTAAATAAATAAATTAGGCCCTAATCTATGGATTTCACATGACTGGGCAGGGGCACAGCCATGGGTGGGCCTGGGACGGTATAGGCCCACCCACTCTCTAAAACGACGTTGGAGGCTGCTTATGGTAGAGAAATGAACATTCAAGTCTCTGGAAACAGCTCTGTTGAACATTCCTGCAGTCAGCATGCCCATTGCACGCTCACTCAAACCTTGAAACATCTGTGGCATTGTGTTGTGTGACAAAACTGCACATTTTAGAGTGGCCTTTTATTGTCCCCAGTACAAGGTGCACCTGTGTAATGATCATGTTGTTTAATAAGCTTCTTGATATGCCACACCTGCAGGGTGGATGTATTATCTTGTCAAAGGAGAAATGCTCACTCAGGGATGTAAACAAATTTGTGTACAACATTTGAGAGAAATAAGCTTTTTGTGAGTATGGAACATTTCTGGGATCTTTTATTTTGGCTCATGAAACATGGGACCAACACTTTACATGTTGTATTTATATTGTTTAGTGTATACAGTGGCTTGCGAAAGTATTCACCCCCCTTGGTATTTTTCCTATTTTGTTGCCCGCAAGTCTCTTGGGGTATGTCTCTATAAGCTTGGCACATCTAGCCACTGGGATTTTTGCCCATTCTTCAAGGCAAAACTGCTCCAGCTCCTTCAAGTTGGATGGGTTCCCTGGTGTACAGCAATCTTTAAGTCATACCACAGATTCTCAATTGGATTGAGGTCTGGGCTTTGACTAGGCCTCTCCAAGACATTTAAATGTTTCCCCTTAAACCACTTGAGTGTTGCTTCAGCAATATGCTTAGGGTCATTGTCCTGCTGGAAGGTGAACCTCCATCCCAGTCTCAAATCTCTGGAAGACTGAAACAGGTTTCCCTCAAGAACTTCCCTGTATTTAGCACCATCCATCATTCATTCAATTCTGACCAGTTTCTCAGTCCCTGCCGATGAAAAACATCACCACAGCATGATGCTGCCACCACCATGCTTCACTGTGGGGATGGTGTTCTCGGGGTGATGAGAGGTGTTGGGTTTGCACCAGACATAGCGTTTTCCTTGATGGCCAAAAAGCTCAATTTTAGTTTCATCTGACCAGAGTACCTTCTTCCATATGTTTGGGGAGTCTCCCACATGCCTTTTGGCGAACACCAAACATGTTAGCTTATTTTTTTCTTTAAGCAATGGCTTTTTTCTGGCCACTCTTTCATAAACCCCAGCTCTGTGGAGTGTACGGCTTAAAGTTGTCCTATGGACAGATACTCCAATCTTCGCTGTGGAGCTTTGCAGCTCCTTCAGGGTTATCTTTGGTCTCTTTGTTGCCTCTCTGATTAATGCCCTCCTTGCCTGGTGCGTGAGTTTTGGTGGGCGGCCCTCTCTTGGCAGGTTTGTTGTGGTGCCATATTCTTAATGGATTTAATGGTGCTCCGTGGGATGTTCAAGGTTTTGGATATTTTTTTATAACCCAACCCTGATCTGTACTTCTCCACAACTTTGTCCCTGACCTGTTTGGAGAGCTCCTTGGTCTTCATGGTGCCGCTTGCTTGGTGGTACCCCTTGCTTAGTGGTGTTGCAGACTCTGGGGCCTTTCAGAACAGGTGTACATATACTGAGATCATGTGACACTTAGATTGCAAACAGGTGGACTTTATTTAACTAATTATGTGACATCTGTAGGTAATTGGTTGCACCAGATCTTATTTAGGGGCTTCATAGCAAAGGGGGTGAATACATATGAACGCACCACTTTTCCGTAATTATTTTTTTTTGCATTGTTTAAAAAGTTTTATTTATTTATTTCACTTCACCAATTTGGACTATTTTGTGTATATCCATTACATGAAATCCAAATAAAAATCAATTTAAATTACAGGTTGTAATGCAACAAAATAGGAAAAACGCCAAAGGGGATGAATACTTTTGCAAGGCTCTGTACAGTGAGGGAAAAAAGTATTTGATCCCCTGCTGATTTTGTATTTTTGCCCCCTGACAAAGTCTATAATTTTAATGGTAGGTTTATTTGAACAGTGAGAGACAGAATAACAACAACAAAATCTAGAAAAACACATGTCAAAAATGTTATAAATTGATTTGCATTTTAATGAGGGAAATAAGTATTTGACCCCTCTGCAAAACATGACTTAGCACTTGGTGGAAAAATCCTTGTTGGCAATCACAGAGGTCAGACGTTTCTTGTAGTTGGCCACCAGGTTTGCACACATCTCAGGAGGGATTTTGTTCCACTCCTCTTTGCAGATCTTCTCCAAGTCATTAAGGTTTCGAGGCTGACATTTGGCATCTCGAACCTTCAGCTCCCTCCACAGATTTTCTTTGGGTTAAGGTCTGGAGACTGGCTAGACCACTCCAGGACCTTAATGTGCTTCTTCTTGAGCCACTCCTTTGTTGCCTTGGCCATGTGTTTTGGGTCATTGTCATGCTGGAATACCCATCCACGACCCATTTTCAATGCCCTGGCTGAGGGAAGGAGGTTCTCACCCAAGATTTGACGGTACATGGCCCCGTCCATCGTCCCTTTGATGCGGTGAAGTTGTCCTGTCCCCTTAGCAGAAAAACACCCCCAAAGCATAATGTTTCCACCTCCATGTTTGACGGTGGGGATGGTGTTCCTGGGGTCATAGGCAGTATTCCTCGTCCTCCAAACACGGCGAGTTGAGTTGATGCCAAAGAGCTCGATTTTGGTCTCATCTGACCACAACACTTTCACCCAGATCTTCTCTGAATCATTCAGATGTTCATTGGCAAACTTCAGACGGGCATGTATATGTGCTTTCTTGAGCAGGGGGACCTTGCGGGCACTGCAGGATTTCAGTTCTTCACAGCGTAGTGTGTTACCAATTGTTTTCTTGGTGACTATGGTCCCAGCTGCCTTGAGATCATTGACAAGATCCTCCTGTGTAGTTCTGGGCTGATTCCTCACCGTTCTCATGATCATTGCAACTCCACGAGGTGAGATCTTGCATGGAGCCCCAGGCCGAGGGAGATTGACAGTTCTTTTGTGTTTCGTCCATTTGCGAATAATCGCACCAACTGTTGTCACCTTCTCACCAAGCTGCTTGGCGATGGTCTTGTAGCCCATTCCAGCCTTGTGTAGGTCTACAATCTTGTCCCTGACATCCTTGGAGAGCTCTTTGGTCATGGCCATGGTGGAGAGTTTGGAATCGGATTGATTGATTGCTTCTGTGGACAGGTGTCTTTTATACAGGTAACAAACTGAGATTAGGAGCACTCCCTTTAAGAGTGTGCTCCTAATCTCAGCTCGTTACCTGAATAAAATACACCTGGGAGCCAGAAATCTTTCTGATTGAGAGGGGGTCAAATACTTATTTCCCTCATTAAAATGCAAATCAATTTATAACATTTTTTACATGCGTTTCTCTGGATTTTTTTGTTGTTATTCTGTCTCTCACTGTTAAAATAAACCTACCATTAAAATTATAGACTGATCATTTATTTGTCAGTGGGCAAATGTACAAAATCAGCAGGGGATCAAATACTTTTTTCCCTCACTGTATATGATTTGTAGCCTGTTCCAACAAATAGCCTATACAAAGCTATTACAAAGGATATTGCACTGATGTTACATTAGGCCTACTGACATACTGTGTCCCATTCTTTTTTTTTTCAGAATGTACATTTGTACATTTTATCGCACTTAGTACAGAATTGTCATATTCATTATGAATACTGAGAAGAGATGTTGACTTTGGCCATAGGGTGGCAGCATTGTATCTTGCTCTATTCATGCGGCCTATTTAGGAAACGTGTCAAAGAGGCTCACTACTGAAATAGACCTGTTGGTTACTAAACTTTACAGAAATATAAATGCAACATGTAAAGTGTTGGTTCCATGTTTCTTGAGATTAAATAAAAGATCCCAGAAATGTTCCATATGCGCAAAAAGCTTATTTATCTAAAAAAATTGCACAAATTTGTTTACATCTCAGTTAGTAAGCATTTCTCCTTTGCCAAGATAATCCATCCACCTGACAGGTGTGGCATATCAAGAAGCTGATTAAACAGTATGATTATTACACAGGTGCACCTTGTGCTGGGGACAATAAAAGGCCACTCTAAAATGTGCAGTTTTGTCACACAACACAATGCTACAGATGTCTCAAGTTCTGAGGGAGCGTGCAATTGGCATGCTGACTGCAGGAATGTCCAACAGAGCTGTTGCCAGATAATTTAATGTTCATTTTTCTACCATTAGCCGCCTCCAACGTCGTTTTAGAGAATTTGGTAGTACGTCTAACCGGCCTCACAACCACAGACCACGTGTAACCACACCAGGACCTTCACATCTGGCTTCTTCACCTGTGGGATCGTCTGAGACCAGCCACTCAGACAGCTGATGACACTGCAGAGTATTTCTGTCTGTAATAAAGCCCTTTTGTGGGGAAAAACTCATTCTGATAGGCTGATCCTGACTGGGCTCCCCTGCCCAGTAATGTGAAATCCATAGATTAGGGCCTAATGAATGTATTTTTATTTTGACTGGTTTCCTTATATGAACTGTAACTCAGTAAAATCCTTGAGATTGTTGCATGTTGAATTTTTTTGTTGTTGTTCAGTATAGTATTTCATGAGAAAAACTGTTTCTGTGGTCCTCTGTAGCTCAGCTGGTAGAGCACGGCGCTTGTAACGCCAAGGTAGTGGGTTCGATCCCCGGGACCACCCATACACAAAAAAATGTATGCACGCATGACTGTAAGTCGCTTTGGATAAAAGCGTCTGCTAAATGGCATATTATTATTATTTATTTTTGGTAACAGAAAA